CTTCAGGCATTGAATAGTATTATTGTGGAGAAAATAGAGGAAGCTTTAGAGAAATTTAATGTAGCCAATTTTGAAATAGAATCAACAGTTTATTTTAGAGAATGAAATGAAGGTGGAGAGGATTAAAAAATGACAGTTTAGCATCAATTGTAGAAAATCAACGACAGAGAATAGAGGCTACAATTATCAACACTTGCAAGATAATCTAAGACAGGTTTTAGGGCCAAAATGCTGCAAGCAGGGCCCCATATATCAAAGGGCAGATAGACGTCTGCTTAAAGACAAAGCACCAATGAAAGGATTTGTTCTTTCATCTTAGACTCTTCAGATAGTCCGTCTGGATTAGCTTTAACCACAATTCAAGTTTTGTGCCTGAACTAGTATTTTGGGATATTGGACAAGGTATTAAGGGAAAATACATATTTGCTTGGGACCAAGGTTATTCAAAGAACTAGGCATATGGCTTAGTGGTAGAGGACTTCATTTGTGAGGTCCTGGATTCTATCTTCAGCATTGATAAAACAAAGATTCTTCAAGATCTTGTTAAGACCTTGCCCAAAGCCCGCTGTTCTCCAATACTTGGATTCTGTGGAAGACTCCAGGGTCATGTCCAGTGACTTGGTATTGAATGATTTAATGTTTTTATCCTTTCATCCTTTGTCAGTCTGTTTCTGCCTCACATGTAGTATTTGCCTCCATCGTCAACTCTTTTCTATACTAGTTCAGCTAAGTCATTGTTGGTGTTTCTGAGTGATGCAGGGAGGACGCGAAAACAAAAGCATGATGAAGTTTATCTCCGCCTAAGGTCTGTCTGCACTGCTAGAGAGCGTAAGTATTAACAATGTTCTACCTTTCCAGTGTTCCTCCTCGCTCCTTCCTATAAACCCTGTGTTGCAGAGCCGGTGATTAAACCCCATTGCAAATCTGAAGCTGATAAACTGCTGAGCTTGTTTTAATTGAAGTGTGAGAAGAAGTTTTAAGGCAGTAGACAACATCCTGTTGTTCAGGGCGCTCGCTCGTCTCTCTTTTTTTTTTTTTTCGTACAGGCTGCACTGCACTGGGAGTCAGGTGGCTGACTTGTGTCTTGCAGCAGCAGCAGCAGAAAGAGCAGCAATAGCAAAAGCAGTGGCATCTCCTTTGTAGCGTTTACCTTCTGGGTCCATCCAACAGTCTGCCATGGATGCAGTGACTGTGTATCATGGCAAAATCAGCAGGGAGACCGGGGAGAAGCTCCTGCTCGCCACGGGGCTTGATGGAAGCTATCTACTGAGGGACAGTGAGAGTGTCCCTGGAGTATACTGCCTGTGTGTTTTGTGAGTATACTGTGGTGGTGGCAGCCTGGTTGCATGTGTGGCCTCGGCTTACAGGGATGGGTGTGGGAAGACGAGGAGGCTACAGGCTTATTTCATGGGTAGTTTCTGGCAAAGGCACGCAGGAGCTCAGGCGGCAGGAACTCGGAGTAGTCTTCTATCGCTCATTCATGGCCCCAACGCTTCCTCAGATTCAGCCCAAAGCTGTGGTGGCCAGTGCTTTGGTCTAGGTCCCTCTCTGGGGATTTCATCTCTTGGCACTTACCAGTGCTTTTGTAGTAGATTCATAGAATGCCCTCCAGAGTGGGAAACCATGGCTTAAAATTTACCTTCACTCTGAGAAAAATCCACACTCTGGACTTCTGCTTTGACTCTGAGTAATAATACTAGGAAGGTGGAGCCCTGGGATGGTGGACTGTTTGTATTTTGGGCCACCAGTTGCTGAGGGAAGGGAGGGCCCATTTCTCCCTCTCTCTCTACAGACAGGTTTGGAAGTGACAGCTTAAGGATGGCCATGTATCAAGTTCCAGGAGAGGAGGCCAGCTAAGAAATGGAGTCCATTGCTTAAAGAATGCTGTACCAGTTAGCTCAGGAGAGTGAGGGGGATGTGTTTGTGTGAGTAAAACTTGCTTTCTGCAGCTGCTGAGTTAGCTTTCTTTATGAGTTAGTTAGGGGGCTGGAGAGATGGCTCAGCAGTTAACTGTGCTATCTGCTCTTACAGAGGACCTGGGTTGGCTTCTTAGCACCACATGGTGGCTAACAACCCTCTGTAACTCCAGTTTCAGGGATCTGACGCTATCTTCTGATTTCCATGGGCATTGCACGACACGGGCTTACATACATGCAGGCAATACACTCATCCACATAAAATAAAGATAACAAATAAAGTATATTTTAAAAAGAGGTAGGGGTGAGGAGTTTTAAAATGTGGGACCCCTGATAAAGGATAAGACTGACAATACTTGTAAAGGACACAGAGTAAAAAACACCTTTGTAATGATTCAGCTTTGCTCTTTGCCTAGACGGTTATCAACCTGTTGTCCCATTTTCAATCAGATGCACCCTCATCCTGTCTCCATACCTCTAGGGACAAGTAGATGTGAGATCTAATCCTGCAGTAGTTACATTCCAGGATTGTCCCCTCAGCTAATCAGTGTCTTAGTCCTTGAATTTTCTCATTTATTAAATGGGTATCATATTCCATTGACTGCAAAGATTAAAAGCCTCCGTGCGTATGAAAAAGTGAGCATTGGACTTGACACACAACAAATGTTTACTAAATGTAAACTGACACCTTTATTATATTATTATTTTCCTTTGGATGATTTATTTCGGTACTTATGGAGGCATTTTTACAGAAGGACCTAGTTCACCCATTATTGTAAGCCTGATAAAAACTCCCCCAATACCCTCCCCCGTCAAGCACAGTAGATTCTACATAGAAGCAAAACAAAGGAAAACACTTGATAGTAAATTCTCTCTATGTGATGATACATTGCAAAAATTTTGAAATACTAAAAGAAAGATATTGAAATTGGTGTGAGATGATTTTCATTGTATATTCATTTTGTAAAATGGCCAAGCCTTATTTGTGGCAGTTTTCAGATTATGCTAAATACATTTATCATACAAGCTTCAAGTCAAACATATGGAAAAACAAGCTTTTTTTTTCAGTGCTGGGGATGGAATTTAGGCTTTTATATATGTCAGGCAAATGTTTTGCCACTGAGCAAGAGCCCTACATCCCCCCAGCGTTGGGTTTAGATCTTTATGCTTGACTTACATCATTGTTTTTTCCCAAGTGGACCTCCAGGAAGGTCAGGGAAAGCCAACTAGGAATCTTAGTCTCTTTCTTATCAAAAAATGGAGGCCTGAAAGTTGGTGAGTGAGGGGGGTTGTTTTAGGTTAAACTGACAAATGAGGTACATGCTGTACAATCTAGAGGTAAAATGCAGGATCAAAAGAAACCTCAACAGGGAGGAGAAAGAGAGCTGGAGACACAGTGCGTGACAAAATACACTCAAGAATGACACTTCTGTCACCTGCTCATTCCTGATAGTCATTAAGCCTGGTTCCAAGACAGAATTTTTCACCTATGTTAAACAGCACTCCTTGATCATTCTAACAAGAATGAATGCTCTCTCCTTGCTGCTGTCCCATTATTTTATTCAAGGAACTTTAGACTTTCTAATGTTTGCTTTGTGTTTCTATCTGGGCTCTCTGACAAATATATCATCTCTGCTAGGGCAGAGACGTTGTCTCCAGTACCAGAAAAATATCCTGGCACATAATAGGCACTCAGCAAATAATTTAACGAATGAGCGGTTAAGGTGTATTGTATTCTTTATTACAAAGAGCGCTGGACTAAGAGGAAGTCAACATGTGGGCCTTAGGGATGTCACTCAAATTCTCTGGGCTTTTGTATATATATGTACAAAACAGAAATATTTTCTGTTTCTCTGTTGCAAAACATTGATTGAATTGAAAAGAGGTTGCCTTTAGCTTTTTGACCAGATAGAGCAGAGTCCCGTGGGGTATTAATTTAGGCAGGTAGAAATTTGCACCCATTTCAGTTTTTACTGAAGGTGAATGTTGAACAAATGCAGTTTTTTGACTTAGTTCTCCACGAAAACCTTCTCCTGACGTAACAGAAAATGGAGTAGAGAGTTCTCTTCCTGTCTTTAGAATGATGCCCTGTGGCATTCTTCTGTATTCTAAGACAATGAACGGCTTTTGGAACATGTACATCCTCTTGTGTTATTACATTTTGCTGTAATTCCCATTTAGTATGAAAAAATGGACCCCTTTGTAATCTTTTAACAAATGATTTTAAGGTATCCTTTCTCCTCTAGAGATGTCATAAAACTTCACTGTTTTTGTTTTAAATATTGTCTTGTTAATTTATATTGTACTCTTTAATTACACTTTGAATTTTATTTTTATATGCATAAATTATCTGAGCTGTTTCCAGAAACTATCAATTGACCAATGTAATTTACTAAATAGAACGTCTTTATTTATCAGCCTACATTATCATGTATTAAAAGAACTGAATATATAACTGTTATTGTTTCTGGACTATTTAGCCCAACTGATCTACTTATTCTTTTATCAATAGAATTAGTACACTATAATGTTGAAATATAATAGAAGGTTATTCAGTATTCTTATTCATTCTTTGTCATGAAATCTAAAATAATATTGTAAAACTCAAAACCCATTGGAGCCCAGTGTGGTGGTATACACCTTCAATCCCAGCATTTGAGAGGCAGAGGCAAATGGATTTCTGTGAGATGGAGGCCATTCTGGTCTACATGTCGAGTTTCAGGCCAAATGGGGCCACTCAGGAAACCCTGCCTCAAAGAAAGAAAGAAACAAACAAACCAAAATCAAACAAAACCTCAAACAAAACACCAACACCAAAAAAACAACAAAAACATCCCATTGGGGATAGTTGACATGTCAAAGTGGACGGGGAGAATTTCATGGGATCTCACTTCAAGATGAAGAGCTACAGGCAATCAGTGCATGCTGAGGGAGGGAAAAATCAGTTTTTTCCAGGTATAGGTACAGAGGACAACACTAAATGGGCTAAGTGCTGTGTGTGTGTGTGTGTGTGTGTGTGTGTGTGTGCGTGTGTAATAATAACAATAATCAAATAAGAATAACAACCAAATAAGCGGTCAAGAAATTGTGAGGGAATGAGGGGCATGGGAGGAGTTGGAAGGAGACTGGAAGGGGTGGAAATAATGCAAAGACAATACTCACACATGCAATTCTAAAAACACATCCCATTGTGATTACATTCAATAAAATAACTAAGGAGAAATTGTCATTTTTGAAGATTTTAGTCTTCTGTTTCAAAGACATGATATGTCTCCCTGCTTATTTTTCTTTTTACTATTTTGTTTTTTAAAATTTATTTTATTATTTTTTATTTTATGTGCATGAGTGTATTGTCTGCCTGTGTGTAAGTACACCTCTGTTGTGCAACGTCCACAGAGATCAGAAGAGGGTGTTGGATCCCCTGAAACTGGAGTTACAATGGTTGTTAGCCACCATGTGGGTGCTGAAAATCAAACCCGGGTCCTCTGCAAGGGCAGTCAGTGCTCTTAAGCAGTGAGCTATCTCTTCATTCCCCCTCCCATTTATTTTTCGTTAACAGCTATCAATAGAATTTTGTAGGTTTCTTTCTGTAGGTCTTGCACATCCTTGCTAAGTGTATTTCTCATTATTGTGTGTGAAAATGTTTTTATTACAACAAATAGAATCTTTTCACTGTATTTTCTGTTGCATAGGAAAACTTTGGTTTTATGAATTTTTCTTGTATTTACCCGATATAAGGAATGCTTTTGTTAGGGGATATATATATATATATATATATATATATATATATGTTTATATTTGCTCCAGTTTTCTTGGTATACTGTTTCTTTGCATTGAGGTGCATATATACCCTCACATTTCTTCACTTCTCATTGCCATATACATAGCCATTGGGCAAGTCCTGATGATCCACTGGCATTGCTTCATTATAAGAGGAAAATGAATTGAAATGAGTTTAGATATTAACTTGTAAATGTTACATATTTCCATAATTAGTATACCTCTGTATGCCTTTGACTTGCTGCTTCTTTGATGAAAGATTGGGAAGAGAAAAATGCTATAACAATTATTTAGCCTCAAGGACCTATATTGATGTCATGTGACAAAAAGGAGTTATTCTTTTGACAAGTTTTCAAGGGGATGAATGGAAATACAGTGCCTACCAAACAACTGAATTCAAGAAACAGAGGATTAACAAAATAAATAAGATGCAGCTTATCAATTGTAATAGAGGGGAACAATGTGGCAAGAGGCGTGTGGCAATGCATTTAAGACTTTAACGTAATTTAATGAGAAATCACACGTTAATTTACATGTATTTAAAAATCTTAAATTACATTTATTAACTCATGTTTGTGTGGGAGCACATGCATGCCACTGTGCAACTTGAAAGAATC